TCCTTTAAAACATTAAAAATATCCACAATTCAAAACGGCTCGCAGGCCAAAAGCAATAAAAAGGTTGAGACAAGACCACAGACGGTCGACATGATGGCTCGCAGGCGACAAAAGGAAAACTAGTTGCCGGGAGAAGGGCTGGGAGCGTCGCCGGCCTTGTCGGCATCATGGGCCCCCTCGTCTTGACCGGTCCCCCCACCCTTGGCATCCTAGGCATCGCCGGATGGGCCGGCCTCGTGATCGTTCGTCCCCGCAGTATCTGGGAGGGGTCGTCCACATCGGCAAAGTCCCTCATCGGCAACAAGAATGAAGAGTAGCCGGACAAAGACTCACCCGGCGCCAGGCGCATCTCGTCGCGAGGCGTGGCCCCGAAGTTCTCAAAACCGACGATCACGTCGTCCTTCCATCCCTTCTGGCGACGCACCAGGGCAGCCTCCTCCTCGTCCACCTCACATACCAGCCCCTCGAACTCGGCATCTAGCCCATGCTTAGAGATTTTCGCCAGCATTATCTCGCGAAAGTCCTCCAAGGTGAGCAGACCGGAGTCGAGTCGCTGAAAAGAGCCAGAAGAGGTTATAGCCGACACCAGAGTCCATGTCGGCCATTATATCCTTGTTGAACAGCTCCTGGACCTCCGGGTACGTCAGCAGACGAAGCGGGATGCGGGGGCGGCCGCCCTCCGAAGCCGCCTCGGCGGTCTGCGCTTCGAGCTGGGCAGTATGCGCCTCAAGTTGTTTCTGGAGGCTGACGACGTGAGCTTGGAGCCTACCGAGCTCGGCCACATGGCGGTCCACCTCCTGGCTCAACGCCTTGGTATGCTGCTTCCCCAGCTCAAACTCCCTGGCGGTCCAGGCCGCCTTCTCCCTCCTCAGCTCCTCGGCCATCCTGGTCGCAGCCGGAGAGGCCTCCAGCTCCTTCTCGGCAGCCTTGCTCGCCTCGGCCTCCGCCAGCACGAGACAGTTCTCCAGCTCCGACGTTCGTTTCGCCTTGGCGTTCAGGGAAGCGATCTTTCCACGACAGAGCTCGTGGTCGGCTTCCAACTTCCGGTAGTCGGCCAGAGTTTTCTGCGACCGATCGGCAGCTAGCACGAGTTCAACCAGTGCCTGAGAGACGGTCCCCGCCGCATGCTGGATAAGCGAGGTGGTGGAAAGCTGAGAAACGCCAGCTTGGGCGGTCGGCGTCCAAGCGACAATGGGGAGCCGAGCTGCCCGCACTACCTCCTCGGGCACCCCGAACTCGTTCGGGATGGAGACCCCGTCAGCAGCCCGGAGGTCAAGGAACCACCGTCCGGAAAGTCGGGGAGGGCCTTAGCCACACGAGCCCTCCGCTCGGCATCAATGGGGACGAAGGAGTTCGCCTTGTCCCGGTGGGTGTAGGCTGTCTTCTGTTTGGCAGGGCCCGAACTCTCTGCCTCGGCGCCCTTCCTTTTCTTGGCAGCAGCCTGATCCTCGGTGCCGCCGCCGGGTACCTCGTCGCCGATAGAGCCGGGCACCTCTCTTGCCCGCCGCCTAGTCAAGCGCGGCTCCGCTGCGGGCGCAAGCGGACCTTGGTGAACGGCGGGGTCACCTTCGGGTGCTGCCGAAACAGTCACGTCGGCAGCTTTAGGGGCCGGCTCCTTGTTGAGCGCCACCCTTTTCTTCGCCAAATTCAGTCTCCTAGACATCGCGGCTTTTGTTCTGGCTTTCAGCGGGTTTGGGTGTTTGCGATGATGCTTGTTTGCGGCCTTCGCCGACTCGAACCCCTTAAACCTGAGAAGGGGATAGTAGACTGGCTTGAAGGATTTGTCGATGATCTCCGAACTCAGATTGTGGTCGAGGAGAGTCTCTTTCTTGGTGAGAGCCGAGTAGTGACGTTCTTCCACGTTCCGCCCCAACAAAGTATTAAGCCGAGTGGCCAAGGAAGGACTGAGTGCCGAACTGGGGTTACGGACTGAAAACGCAAATTACGACTTGTTAGCACAAAGAAAAGAAATCAGTTGGTAACGGACAAACATGGTGAGAAACTTACGAGCATGGGAAATAAAATGAGTAGGCGGGTGCCGAGTAGCATCCGGGGTCATCCACCCGCCGCCGACCCAAAACCACTTCGGCATGTAACCGTGTAAGATCTCGGGCAGTTTGGCCACCAACTTTTTGTTGATACCAGGGAGTACCGAGCTGTAATAATTGCCAGTATCGCCCGAACGCTTGAAGGCAATCAGGGCCTTCACCTCGTCGCCGGTAGGGTCGGCCCAGCCTTCGCGGGCGGTACATGACGATCAAACTCACGAGACGGGCGAATACCGTTGGCACGTATTGGCTAATGCCGACCTCAAGTTCACTCTGAATGTCGTTGAGCACGCCGGGCAGAGGAAACCGAAGGCCCAAATGAATGCTATGTCGATAAACCCCTATACAGCCCGGCCGCGGACAGTGGATCCGCTCCCCGGGATAAGGCGCAAATATTTGGACTTCGGGGCCGAAGTTGTACTTTCCCCTTAGTTGGGCCAGGTCGGCGTCGTCCAGGACCGACGTTGTATTCCAGGCCGTCGCCTGGCTCGGTGTCGCCCAAACTCGCTCGGGTCGGCGCCAGAACCCGGGAGGAGGAACCGTCGCAGCTTCGAGGGCGGCATCGATAGCCGCGTCTCCCAATCCCATGGGGACGCGTTCTCGACCTTCGATGTTTCCGCGGAGGGCCTCGTCCACAAGATCTTGGTCAACATCGGAGCCGGAGTCCAAAAAACCAAGATCGACGGAGTCATCGTTAGCCGCGGACGATTGGTTTGGATCGGCACCGACATCCTCACGCAGCGGCGACGGGGGGCCTCGGAAGCCGACGTCTCCGCTGCCGGAGGCAGTCTCGACCGACGAAAAATCCGGTCGGACTACCAAAATGGGGACGGCGGTGAGGATGACATCCGCCGACGCGGAGGGGGAGTGAACGGACGGCTTGCAGTCGACATCGACCACATCGCGAAAGAGGGCCGCCGCCTTCGCCGGTGGAACCGCCATTGTCCGCGAATTTCGGAGGAGAAGACATCACGATAAAAAGACAAGGAAAGCGAAAAGAAGCTAAACGGAGATTACCAGTCGGTCACCGATGAACGGTCGTCGGAGAGTTCTAGAAACGTGCTCGTAGGCTTAACGGGATTTAGGACGCTCGAAGGCTCTAAATTGCGAAAGTAGAAAAAGTTGCTAAGAAGAGATATATATAACGTCGCCTGACCAATTAGGTGTGAACACGTGTGCAGACTTTTGAAATTCGAAATTCAAAAGGCGAAGCGTCCTGGGAAAGCCAACCGACACGCCCGTTCAGACTCTTGATCAGGAATCCGCCACGTGTCGACCGCATATGGATGCAATATAGACGCGCCCCTTCGGCTGCTGACGCTAACGCGTACAAGTATGGTGGAAATGTTGACCTCAAGAGCGGGTCCGGCATGACCCATACGGACCCGACTCGGATCAAAGCATTTAACGACCTCGGGAGAGGCACGGCAGGCCTCACCCGAGCCCGGGGGCCTGTATGTTGATATCCGGATCGGGCCTCCATTGAAGTAACGGTCTGAGAGGCTGGAAACCAGGCGAGGTCGGTTTCGGCCAGTGGGGCCGGTTACCATGCCAATTAACAGGTGTCGAGCTGAGGATGAGTCAAAGTCATTTGGTGCGCCGGACGACGTCGTATCCCGAGGTCGGCACCTCGACGCTTCCGTTAAGGAGCCGACCAGCCCAGATATGGGGTCTGGAAAACCGGAGGACGGGTAGAGACTGTCACAGCCCGGCTCGAGATCCTACCAGCCCGACCCTCGTAGGGGTTAAGGATCCAGGAAACAATTGAATAAGGCCACTTGTCAACCAATGATTGCCGATGGGACGTCCCAGACTAGCCTGCAGGTCTAGGACGCCTAGCCCGGCTGAGGAACATGTCCGCATTAAATGCAGCCCATACCAGCATTAAATGCATTGCATGTAATGATTGGAAGATCCCTAAATCACTCCCAATCAGTCAGAGGAACGCCGGCCTGTCTAGCCAAGTTACTGTACGACAAGACCCACGAACAGTACCCGAACAGTATCACATTTAAGAGCCCTATAAATAGAAGTCCCAAGCATTTATTTTGGGTTGTTGAATCCCAACTGTCTTGACTCTCTCTACATTTTCTCTCTCTAAAACTTGTAAGGAACTTGTGTAAGAATTTGTAAGTATATTGCAAGTGTCGACCTCGTACGAGAGGCCGACCTCGTGATCAGTTAATAAAATCATAATTTAACCGTATTCCTTTGTCTTTTCTCGTTACTTTTTCACTATTTATCTTTTTTAACCGTTGACCGAAAACACCCGTCAACATAAATAAACATGTAAAAAAGGTAACAAAAATAGGACAAACAATTCCATGGCAAAGGTATCTACCAAGATTCTCATCATAGCGCAAACTTCATTTTCGATAGACCCAGTAATGTCCCAAACTGGAAAAGGAGGTTATTCTTCCTTCGATCTCTCGCTCATTTACTCTTCGCCTTCAAGCCTTGGCTCGTCAAATCTCCCGTCACCTACAACTCACCAACTCGAAATTCCACTCATAGCCTTATAATTGCCACGTGGGGCCAATCCAAGGTCATATATTCTATGTTACTCAATGATGAGCGGCTCCCCTACACATTGTGGTCTTTCGACCAAAGTCGACAACTTATTGCCTTATGAGGAACTCAGTAAGATCGAATTATGTTCTTTTATATTCTGTTTTCCTTTCGCAAGTGAACTAATAATTTTATTTTCTTCCGTACTGAAAAACGTCTCGAGATGGCTAAAGGTCCCCACTCTTGCCGCCAGCGTTGAGGGAGGTTAGTAAAGACCTCCCAAAAACAGAAGGGTCCTCAGACCACGAGGCCTCGTAGGGTTGTCAACCCCTCTGTTGAGAAAATGAAAGGAAAGAAGGTCATCAAGATCGATGAGGGTCGGGCTGACACTAGTGTGGAGTCCAACCAGAAGCAGCCCCCAGTCGGACCAGCGAGAAAGATAAGATGGTCGACTATGAGCATCGGGGGAAAAAAATTCGGGTCGACGAGGAGACCCTTATCGTGCCTCTTCGTTCCCTTGCCACAACGGCCAGGGCTACGACCACTGTGTGGTACCTGGCCAAAGTTCTACCTCCAGCCGATACTGGTCGATGGTATAGTGAAAGGAAAAGGCGGGCTGAGGATGTAACCCGCGGCCTCGAGCGGGTACCACTTGAATATTCGTTTCTTTTTCTCATGTTTTGATCTTGCCACTTCATTACTATTGTTGGTATATCAATTGTGAGTCGTCCCACATTGATTTAATATATGGTAAATGAGTCTCGTTTGTAAGCCTAGTGGGCTACTCCTCCAATTACCAATTGGTTTTAGGATGGAACCTCACTTGGTCTTCATTTGGGTTAACCCTCTTATGGTGCACTTCACCTGTGTGGGACCGCACTCGTTTTGCCCCTGTTTCACATGGTATCAGAGCGGGCCTAATTTGGGACTTGCGATTAAAAAAAAAATAATAAAAAAAATAAAAAATTACCCGGCCTTGTTGTAGGTGCAGGCTGAAAAATGTATTCGGCCTCATTGTAGGCGTGGGCTGAAAAAATGTACCCGACCTGCTTGGAGGCGTGAACTGATGAAGGACTCACAAGTGAGGGGCGTGTTGGAATATCACTTGTTAGTTGTCCCACATTGATTTGTAGAGTAAATGAGCCTAGTTTATAAGCCTAGTGGGCTACTCCTCTCATCACCAATTGGTTTTGGGATGGAACCTCACTTGGGCTTCATTTGGGGTAACCCTCTAATGGTGCGCTTCACCAGTGTGGAACCGCACTCGTTTTGCCCCCGTTTGACAACTATGTTGACCGTTTATTCTCTAGGTCTTGGCAGGTCTTGTATTTATGCTCAATGAAGACCTAGACAAGCAGAATGAGCTCCACAAGGAGATAACTCAGCAAAAAGAGGAGCTCCGCTTTCTGAATCAACATGCCAATCAGCTGACTGTTAACAACCATAACCTTTGCAAGAAGGTGGCCACGTTAAATTAGGAGGTTGAGATCCTCATTGCTCGGAACAAAGAGCTAGGGCAAAAGTTGGTAGACTAGTCGGCCCGACATCAAGAGGTCTTAAAGACGGTTGTTCATACTGCTTGCGCGAACATTCTGCAAACTGAGATCATGCAGTGGGTGCTCGAAGCATATCGTCTGCAATTGGTCGATGACTATCTCGAGTCTCCTGTCTACCTCGATGGGATGGCCGACCCAATCATCGAGGGCTTTAACATGGCCTTTGAAGGGGCAATGAGCAAGCCCAAGCTATCAGGGTTGAGTTCGGCCGCTAGGTTGTCGTACTGAAAATGATCGATGCACCTTCGAGCTTCATGGGCAACGTAGAGCTGCCATCTCCTCACATATGGTGGGGCGACACTCTGACCAAGAGTTTGTTGAGAGCTAATGTGGCTCAGTTTTGCACTTTACTAGCTTCTCTTATCACTCGTGGACCTTCGTCCAGCGCTCAGGCCCAGGCTACTCCATCACAGGCTTCGATATCTCCCGAGCCCAACATTGATGCTGTTGCTGCCAACTTCTAAACCAATCTTCCTCCACCCCCACAATAGTTTTTCCCTTTTGTATTTTGTAATTTGATGGTTTGAACTCGAATATATTTTCTCTCATTTTGTTTTACGAGTGTAAGTTCTTTAGTCTTCAAATGATGTTGTTTATATTGATCATTATGTTGTGTGATTTGCGAGACTTGCTCGAGCAGGTTAAAAACCTCGACCCACTTCTTGGGTGTTCCCATATTTATCCCTCTGTATGTGTTTCATCCATTTGTCCAAATTAATCTCAAAGTCGTTATAATTGTTACAACAATTCTCTCTCTTGGTAAATGCAATCGGAAAATCCCCAATTTTCCCCTTTCGAACCCTCGTTCTATAGTCAATCGCGGAGCCTCCTTTCCGGGTGTCCCTTCCTCTTGTGATTCCAGCGAGCATCCGACTCGCCCTAGGCTTGTCGACGCGGGCATGGTGGCCGTTTTTCCTCTCCCTCCCCGTACGTGGTCCCACTCTTGTATCCGAGTTCCATGGAGGTCAAGCTTGAGACGAGGGTTCAGTCTCTAGACGTGGCGTCCGGCAGTCGCTGCGGGCAATTCGTGGATGCTTGTGGTGACAGTTCGGTCTTGGTCCTCTCCTTACCCGGCCTCCACTATTGTTATGTTTGGTCGGGCCCTCCGGTGGCGGTGGCGATTCCTTGTGCAGGCCCTAGAGTATGCGTGGAGGGGCTCTGGTGGTGGATTGGTCGGGGCTGGTGTGCGAGTCCCGGAGGAGGTTCAGATCTAGGGCTCGATTGGGCTGTAGTTTCTATGGGGCTTCTTCATGGTGAGTCGCGTTTGGGTGTATGTCGGGTCGCGCAGGAGATGGGGTGCAGTTCAGAGGGGAGGGCAATATTATTTTGTTAGTATTATTTTTTGTTCTTGTGATTTATTGTTGGCAATGTTTCTTTTGTTTCTTTTTTGGTTCTCCCGGTTGAGAGTTTCTCTCCTTTTGGGGGTTTTTTGTTCTCCTTTTTGGGAGTCTGTAGGTTGTTTTAGTGTCTTGTGGGTTGGTTGTTATCGGTAGGTAGGTTCTAGACTACTTAATCATGGTGGATTTTAGCCTCTTTAACCTGCCACTGAGATCGATACCAGTACAAAACAGAAATTGATAGGGAAATCATCCAGTATTGTCATTAATGATATTTAATTTGATATTCAGTACATGTTGGTTACAAAGGAAAAGTAAAGGAACTTCATGCATGATACATTTCACGACCTAGATAAGGATCTTCCCTCAGCATCATTTAGTGAGTAAGCCCCTTCTACATGCACCCTTTTGGTCCCGTATGGACCTTCTCAGTTGGACTCGAGCTTCTCCACATGCTTGAGGACATCCACCCGCTTCTATATCAGGTCTCCCACCTGGAACCTTCACCTCTTTACCTTCTTTTCGTTGGCGATACATATCCGTTGTTTGTAAGCTGCTACTCTGGTCACAGCTCATTCTCTTACTTCCTCAAGTGTGTCTAACTCCAATCGAACCAGCACCTTGTTTTGTTCTCTAATCGACGTCTGTGACTCAACCTCGATCTCCACTGGTAATAACACTTCCATGCCGTATGCTAGACTAAATGGAGTGTCACATGTCGTCAACCTTGGGGTAGTTCTATACGCCCAGAGCACAGAAGTTAGCTCATCCACCGACGCTCCCGAAGCCTTCTCCAGTCAGGCTTTTAACCTATTTAAGATAATCATGTTCATCACTTTAACCTTTCTGTTGGCCTGGGAGTGGGCTACCGAAGCAAAGTGTTGCTCAATCTTCATATTTTTGCACCAAGCCCGAATTCGTTTTCCATTGAATTGTGTTCCATTATCCAAGATCAGGACCTTTGGGACTCTAAACTTGCAGCAAAAGTTGTGTTATAGAGAAATTGTACAACTTTATCCTCTTTTATCCTCGCTAATGGCTCTGCCTCGACCCATTTTGTGAAATAGTCCACCGCTACAATTAAAAATTAATGTTAGCCTGTCCCCTGCGGCATAGGCCCCACCAGATCAATTCTCCATTATGCAAATGGAATGGGGGTGGTCATGGCCTCCGCTGGCTGGTGCAAGAGCGGGCCATGCTTTTGACATTGTAAATAGTTCTTCACTATCAATTTTGCATCTACCCCCAACGTAGGCAAAAAAGTATCCTGCTCGAACGATTTTCGCCACCAACGAGGACACCTTTCTATGGTTACTACATAGCCCTCGTGTACTTTCTTCAGCACATATCGACCTTTTTCCTTACTAACACACCTAAAGTATGGCCTGAATATGATCTTTTGAACAAAATGTCTCCTAGCTCGAAAATATTTTTCACGTACTTCAGATTTCCTCTCTCAACTCCTTCCGAGTGGGAATCCTCCAATCCTCGAGCTCTTGTATTTCGGCCACCTCTACTGAGTTGCATTCAATATATAGAAGGGTGACGCTTCAACTTTTACAATCCACCAAACTTTGTGCGATTTTTTATAAGAGATATGTCCGACCATTTTCCCCTCTTGGAATTTGAATCAGCTCGAATGCACTAAATTCCTTGTCCAACCTCATCTCATCTACGTATTTCTGCATTCTGTCCTCTTTCACCTCGAAGCCTTCCTGAAATTGGCCTACTACAAGCTGTGAGTCAGAGTGTACATGTATTTCTCGGGCTCTGCCGGCTAAGGCTAGCTGAAGACCCTTCACCATCGCCTCGTACTCCACTTTGTTATTATATATCTTAAATCTGACCTTGGTCACAAACTTCTACTTGTCCCCTTTGGGTGAGATTCGCAAATTCCTAGGCCTGCTCCTCCTTTAGATACTGAACCATCCTCATATAATTGTCATTTCCCCTGTGACTCGACCTCCCCTCTTGTTCCCTAATGTATGAAATCAGCTAGAATCTGGGCTTTGATCGCCCTCCGAGGATCGTAGGAGATTGAATACTCGCTCAGCTCCACTTCCCACTTGACTAATGGACCAGAGAAAACAGGTCGACCCAATGTTTCTTCCAATGGCATGTTCGCCCTTACTCTAACCTTGTGGGTCAAGAAATAAGATCTTAGTTTCCAAACAGTGATTACCACGGCTAGTGCACACTTCTCGATTTCTGAGTACCTGATTTCAGCACCCTGCATTACCTTGCTCACGTAATAAATCGGCACTTGGGCTACTCCATCCTCTCTGAGCTGCAATGAGCTCACCACCGTAATCTTTATAGAGATATAGAGGACAAAGTCTTCGCCCTACACCGGCTTGGCCAACAATGGCAGATTGACCAACATATCTTGTAGCTCCTCAAAGGCCTTTTAGGCCTCCTCTGTCCAACTAAATTGTAAGGTCTTTTTCAGAGTTGGGAATAATGGGTTGTTCTTCTCAGCGACTTTCGAGATAAAACGGCTTAGCTCGGCTATTCGTCTAGTTAAGATTTAGACCTCCTTGACACTCTTCTGGGGCTTCATTTCGACCATTGCTTGTACTTTTTCGTGAGTCACCTCTATCCTGCGTTTAGTCATCATGTGCCCAAGAGATTTGTCGGTTTTCATCCCAAAAGAACATTTAGCTGGGTTTAAGTTCATGCATACTTTCTTAATGTAGCAAAGGTTTTCCCCAAATCTTTGACATGATCGGCCTCTTGTTTGCTCTTGACTAACATGTCGTCGACATAGACCTCCATATTCTACCCAGTTGTTCCCTGAATATCTTATCCACCAACCTTTGATAAGTCGCCCTGGCGTTCTTCAGCCCGAAGGCGTAACCACATAATAGTAGGTCCCTCGGCTTGTTACAAAGCTTACTCTCTTCCTATCCTCTCTAGCTAGAGGAATTTGGTGATATCCCTGCGATGCATCCATTAAGCTTAGCAGTCACACCCTGTAGTTGAGTCGATCAGCTGGTCGATCCTAGGTAACGAATAGTGATCCTAGGGACAAGCGTTGTTGAGATCCCGAAAGTCAATGCACATTCTTCACTTCCCTTCGGATTTAGATAACATAACTGTGTTTGACAACTACTCCAGAAACTGTATTTCAGTGACGTGACCTGCCTTTAGAATTACTCGACCTCCTGCTTTGTCACTTTATCCATCTCAGCTCCATGATGCCTCATCTTCTGCCTCATCGGTCTTACGCTAAGTTCAATGTTGAGCCTATGCTCGATGACACTAGCCTCGATTCCCGTGAGCTCCTCTGGGGTATAAGCAAAGATGTCAGCAAAGTCCCTCACAGAATATGAATTATATTATAAAACAAAAATAGACATAATTTATTTATTAAATATGAATTAATTACAAAATAAAAATAGGTAAATTAAATAAATAAGTAAATAATATTATATTATTTAATATATTATTTTAATTAAATCATTAATATACTTATTTATTTAATATGTTAAATAATATTCTATAATTTAATATATTTATATATATAATTTAATATATTTATTTATATATTAAAATTTATTAGTATATAAATAAAGTTTATTTAAA